TCCAGCACCTGATTTTGTCTGTTTGAAAGGCAAGCATGCTGATGGAATCTCCTGGAATTCACCTTTGGATGCATTTTATTCAAGATGCTTTTATTTTTTTAATATTTATTTATTTATTTGGGGGGAGAGAAAGAGAGAGAGTAAGTATGAGTAGGGGAGGCGTAGAGAGGGAAGGAGAGGGACAAGCAGACTCCTGAGTGTGGAGCCCACCGCAGGGCTCGATCTCACACTTCTGAGATCATGACCTGAGCCGAAATCAGGAGTCTGCACATAACCGACTGAGCCACCCAGGCGCCCCTATTCCAGATGCTTTTAAAAATGTGCATGTCTGTCTTCTTCCCTTTAATATTACTATTTTTTAAGGGCAGTGACCTCTGGAAAAGGACTTTTCATACACCACTGCAGGAAGCCAGCGCTAAGGCTTTAATACAAAATATGAATGGAGTTAGGAATACTTAGAAAACACAATCTCAGGACGAGCAGGCCGGACAGAATGCAGACACTTAGGGCGTGGATGACTGGCTTTCTGAGGCTGCAACGACTACAGCTTACCTGTTCTTCTGATTGTGTCACTACATTTACAGTCTGTGAGTTTAAGACTATTATTACCCCCAGAGATTTTTGGTCAACTGCAAGACTGGCCTGCTAGGATATGTATCCAGTGACGTGGAGGCCTCTCCTGCTTTCACTAGGATGCAAATGACAATTGTAAGATTCTCATTTCACCCTAAGGATGTTCATGTAACCAACCAATAAAAGTAATTACAACTGAGCTGACCATTATTAAAGGTCATCTCCTAACTGACCAGATCAAATAAGATTAAGTAACTGTCACTTGATTCCTGAGCCTTTCCTGCTTCCTCTGCCGCTGCATGTGGCCCCGGCCCGAGCTTCTGAGGAAGCACCCTAAGTACTCGGCATGATGGACGCCCGCCCAGAGGGCTGCAGACACCTGCGCCCACGCCCACTCCTTCCCTCCTTCTCTCCCAGTGGAGGGAGAGCGTTCCTTTCCTTTCCTTTTCTTAAAGTGAGTTTAACTGATCTTGTCTCTTTAGGAAATCTCATTGTATTAGAAAAGGTGACTTATGATACTATTCCTAAGCATGAAATCTAAACTAAGTTCCTAGAAGTCCTTTTCCAACCTGTTTAGGGAATTCTAAAGGGATAGAACTATGAATAAAATGTGTCTTCTTACCTTCTTCCTCACTGTTAGTTTGTTAGGTCAGTCACACTTTTGGCACTAACATATTTTTGCAGACTCATCTTTGACGAGAGTGAAGAACAGTTAGGGGTGGTGGAAGACTATTAAATGCAGGTATAAAATGAGGACTACAAAAACAATAAAAATGGCATTTTGTTTGTTGTTGTTTTGGTGATTAGGGATGATAGTTTTTTGGGAGTAAGGCAGTTGCAGGAACCAGCATTTGTGCATTTTTAGCATGTACCAGGCACTACGGTGGGGGTTTTACATACATCAACTCACCCAATCCTAAAACCCGTCTAAACACATACATGTAATTAGCCCCAACGCATCCCACTCAAGGAGGCTGCGTTTATCACCTGGTGAGTGAGGGGCCTCCTTCCTCCTCCCTTCGCCTAACCCCCTGCTCCGGCAGCTGGCTCCCCCACCTCCATTCCCTTCCCACTTTGTTCTGCCTTCAGAACACTCTTCCCCTTCCTCACCACCCTGCATCCTGCTATCACCCACGGTGTCTTCGGCGAACAGCTCATGCTCTGCTGCTACCTGGCTTCTGTGTTCTCGGAACAGCTCCTCGATCCCAACAACGGCTTCCTCACCATACCTCAGCCACTCTCTTCCAGGTCCTTATCACCAGCAGAAATTCCACCACGTCTGAAATCTGAATTTGAATGCTCCCAGCCCGGATCATTTTCTTATCCCTCTAGTTCCCTTGTCTTCAAGACCATCGACGCTTCCACCTTCACATTCTGCACCTGCTCTGTCCTGGCTTCACTTCTCTCCCAGTGACAAGAACAAGCCTTTGTTCCATCATTATCAACATTTTCTTGTAAATAACTCACTCTTCTCGCCCCTTTCCTCATTATACCCCACAGAGGGCATCCTCGGTCGCACACGATTTCATCCCCTCACACTGTGGGTCCCACCCCATCTCACGTGCCCAAAGACTGTTCCTGCTGTCCCTCCGGCAACATCCATCCCGCTCTCTCTACTGGCTTGCTGTGATCAGCACACAGGCCTCCATTTGCAAACAGCCTCCCTGTGGCCACGTCATTTCTCTGCAATCCTTCATAGCCAAGTTCTGAAAAGAGGAGCCTCCACACTGTTTCCTCACCTCCCGTTCTTTCTTCCACACACTCCCAAATCTCCCATGCCCACCACTCCCCTCTTCCAAGGTCACCGACCTCCATGCTATCAACGCGAATACACAAACAGCAAACACATTTGGCCATTCCCTCCTTCTGGAGGGTTTCCTCCTCAGTTCTCATGGCAGGATAAAACCCATTTCCCTCTTACCTGCCTGCTTGTTACTTCTTTCGCTCTCTTTTTTTGAGGGCTCCTCTTCCTCTCCATGACCCTAAGTATTGGTATTCTTCAGGGCCTGCCTCTAGGCTGCTGGCTCTTTCTGTGTATACTTTTTCCTCTGGTTGACCTCAACATTTCTGGAACTTGAAATATTCTCTATCTTCTGACGACTCTGTAACTCACGCCTCCACCTTGGACCTCTCCTCTGGACAATAGGCCTGCATGTCCACGTCTCCTTTCACATGTCTCAGACAATTCAAACTTGACATGTTCACCATCTCTGTCTTTCTCATCGCGGTAAATGGCACTGCCACACAAAAATCCTGTTGCTCCCACCAGAAGCCCGGAAGTTCCTTCTAATGTTTCCTTTGTTCCCTGTATGTAAACTGTCAACAAGCCCAAGTCTACCCATAAACGATGTCTCAGATGGTGCTGGAGCAGTGACCCCCCTCCCCCCCAATCTCAGTGCTGCCTGTCTTCCCTATAGCACCAATCTCAACTTACAATTACATGCTAACTTGTTTATTTTCTCTATGAAAGGAAGCACCATGAAGGTAGAGATCATACCTTGCCTGTTTACTACTGTATTTACCAGCAGCTCTTCAACACGTTATCTACTGAACAAATGAAACTCTTTCTAGAAGAAATAACAGACCCTAGACTTTTACCTTTATGGAGAATACAGGCATTTAAACCAAAAAAAGGTGTCTTACAACATCATGGATCACTTCAACACATACTCCAACATTCCTAGTACAATCTCTGTCCAGACCTTTTCCCCAGGATTGCAGGAAGAAGAGTGACGAAGGCCGGCCACTGCGCATTCTCTGTGAGAACCAAGACCCCAGACGTGCCAGTGCTACATTCCCTGCACGTGAGAAACAGAGCACAGCTCTGGAGGCAGTCAGGCTTGAACCAAATCTCCATTCTGGCAAAAGCTGTGTCTTCTTGCAAGTTATTTAAACACTCTAAGCCTGTTTCCTCATCTGTTCTTGGAAAGACGCCATGACTGAGGATTCAAAGACATGTCACTTGTTAGAGGGTCTTCCATGGTGCCTGATACCTAACAGATACACACAAAAAGTGGCCAAGAACCCCAGGCCAAACTCTCCCATTCCAAAACACAGCACTACACTGGGTAAGAATACAAACAAAAATCTGACGTAGAGCAGATGTCTTTTTTTTTTAAACTGCCATACTTCAAGCCGTTCTCTTCTCAGCAGGGAAGGGCAGGAATTACCTTGGTCGGACAGGGGACTGGAGAAGAGCAGAAAGAATACTGGACTTGCCATCAGCTGGTCTGAGTTTGACTACTGGCTTCACTATTTGCACCTTATGTGAATCTGCAGGACTCATTTAATCTCTTCAAGCTTCTTCCCGGATATAAAATGGAAGACTCCCAGCACAGTGATGGCCCTCAGGGCAATAAGACAATAAAGAAATGTTCCATAAATCTTAATCTCAGAGATGCAAAAGCTCGGGCAAGGGTGGTTAAGCAGCTTGGGGCTGATGGTTCATCAGACCACTAGAGGTAGAGACAGAAACCCCAGGCTAGAGGGTGAATTCTCTCAAGTGTGGAAAAGATGAACAAAATGTTCCAAACTCCCAAACACCAGACCTTCTATTCTAAGATGCTATTTTTAAAAGGCAAAAGGCTACTAGACTCTACCTTTCAGATTCATGTTGGCGAAAAGTGCTCAGATGCCTAAGGGAAAATGAGTTTCTCCAACGATATCAAACAGAGCTGTTAAGCAGTGTTTATAAAATTTCTCATTTCTGTTCTTTTGGTTCCTTTTTTTGCCAAAGCTCCAAGAATCTCAACAATGCTTCCAAACCTAAAAGCAGCAGAAATGACTGGGAGAGAAGGGGTATATGCAACAGAAACATGCATCAATCTTTTGTTATCTGTTGCTCTAGTTTAAATTCCCAAAGAACTTCTGGAACGTACTGTTCTGGAAAGCTTAGAGAAAAAAGCCCATTGGAAATGCAGGAGTCAGAACCTGTTTTTGTCTTCACTCTCAAAACCACTGCATTCTTGCAGAACAGAAAAGTAGGTTTTGCTCACTTTCTCAAGCAAGGAAAGTTTTGCTCCATTTCTTTTAACACTTCAAAATTTAAATCCATGACATCTTAAGAATTCAAATAACCAATCTGCCTCTGACTCTTACTGTTCAAGACCAGATTTACTGTTGAGAGTAAACAAGTTCTATTCTTGTCACAGAGTTTTGTAGAGAGGTTCATTAGCCTTAATGACCAGCTCAGAGTTTAAACAGATAAACAAGATGGGTTTGGGGACTACTTTTCCTCTCCACAGTTTTTTTTTTTTTTTTTAAGATTTTATTTATTTGACAGCGAGAGAGGGAACACAAGCAGCGGGAGTGGGAGAGGGAGAAGCAGGATTCCCACGGAGCAGGGAGCCCGATACGGGGCTCAATCCCAGGACCCTGGGATCATGACCCGAGCCGAAGGCAGACGCTTAACGACTGAGCCACCCAGGCGCCCCTCCTCTCCACAGTTTTAAGATTTGAGGAAAACCGCATCTACTAGTAGTGATTTTGAATGTCAGAGGGAGAGGTTATCTTCTGTATAATTTATCAGACTTATTCTTCTGAAAATCATTTTTTTTCTTAAACTGATAGGAGGTGATGGTAAAGCTTTTGAAGAACATGCTATGTTCAGTAGTATAACAAAAATTTTTTCCAGTCACTGACCCATACTAGCTCATGTAAGAATCCTATGCAATGTATCAAAATGCCTCAGCAGACACAGACTCAATACCTTTTTCCATCCACCTGCCTCAACTAAGTCCTGGGGCTCAGGCCTTTCTGACTGGACATTCTGTGGTGAGGGACAGTTAGGGGAGAAAGATGTTAATAGGGCTGCGTGGCTTTAACCCAAGGAGCTATTAACAACAAAATGACAGATTTCTGAAAGATGCAGTCTGGGTCTGCACTAGGGCAGTTAAAGCTAGGCTCACGTTTTCAGATATTTTATACTTAGGTTGTTTCCCTGCCTCTGTCCCCCAAGACTCTGATAGCACAAAAAAATCCTTAATTAGGCATTAATGGGAATATAGAATTTCTAGGAAGGAAAGTCAGAGACACTTGTTAAAATGGAACTGGAGGGCAGAGAATAAGATCAGACCGAGTTTCCAGAAAAGGGTGTGGCCAGAGTCTCTGGCTCTCTGCAAAAGACTTACTTATTATCACACCAGGCACTAAAATTCAATACCATGGAGAAAACAAGTTTCCAATCTCCAGACAAAATTCAGCCTCCCAAACCTGTTCTGACTCTCCTCCAACCTGTGAAGCAGCCATCAGAGTAAACTGGAGGCCATCAACAAAGAAATGAGAACAATCACCTCCATTTCATACATCGGGGGCCCAAGGATGTCTTTCAGAGCATGGAAATCAATCAAAATCGGCATTTCAGGTGGTAGGGCTAAGTCCGGAGTGTCACTGACAGATTCAGGTTTTGCATCTTCTAAGATCTGTTCTCTGCAACCTAAGAGAGAAAAATGTGTTTAGAAATTCTCAGAGTTTGGCAGGTTTGAAAATTCATTAGTAGTATACATCAAACAGAAGTACAGCGGACTGTTATTTAACAGATCAGTCACCTTTATATATTTATTCAGGCACAAAAATTTATCTCATGATCTGTGGAACTCAGGCAGAGACTCTGTCTTTCAAGAGCCCCCAAAGGGTGATATAATGCACCGTGTTGTTCATTTATTCTCACTTGTTTGTCTACCCTCCCACTGCACATAAGCTCCAGCAAGGCACAACCTTGTCTGTCTGCTTTTTTAACCTATTATATTCTTAAGCCAAGAACAATGCCTGGCCCTGCTCAACTTTAGAGGGCAGATACTGAAGGGTCACATGCAATAGATTACCTTGTATAATTCTGTCAGATCAACAGAACACAAAGCTTTCAACTCCCTCTTCAGAGGGGTCCCATCAGGTGTCCCATTTCCTGACAGGCGGAAAGAACTTGGAAATGATGGATCCCTGTATAAGCAATGCTTCTTTTGCAAAAAGGTTATTTTCCAATAAAAACAAGCATACCTGGCAGTGCCAGGGTAAAAGCATATGAAGCCTGGTCTGAGACCCCTATGATAATGGGCTATTTCCTTGACCTGCCTAAGAGCCCTGGTTGCTAACAACTTGTTGGAGCACGGACTCCTGGTTTGAGCCTAGACATACAAGGAACAGGCACCAACTGCCTTATCAGACCACCTTTCTGCTCCTCTCTGTAATTCCAGTTTGAGGAAAGAAAAACGTTATGTAAGCCTGTAGCCAGAAACCTGAAATGAATAGACGTTGAAAAAATGTATGAAATATTTGTCTCTATTCATCCTTATTCCTAAGTTTTGCTTTTCTTTTAGCTTTGCCATAACTCTTCCAGCTCTTATACTATCTCATGAAATGTTGTAAAATACCTTTATGATCTTTTTTTTTTTTACATACATCCTTCCTTCTGGAAATGATTACTATAATATACAACATATAATAATTATAAACTTGCCATTGTGTATTTTATTTTTGGTATGATTCTCCCTTTCTGATATCTCACGAAGTTAAAAGAACTGTTTTTCACTAACTCCTTTCCTTCCAAAAGTGATTCCTGAATGTGTTTTATAATATCAGGCCCTCATTTTAGACTCCAACGATAACTGGAAACATCCTGGGGGCTGGGGTGTCCCTAAATTACCCCTGCATAGAACAGCCTTGCTATGACCTTCCGGGTGAATGGCTCTCTCAGTCTGCTGGGATCTCTGGGACTCCTCTTCAAGACTGAATCACAAAAGATACATGATGGAAACCAGACAACAGCTCAGATTTTCAACCACTTGCTGCCTGTCAGACCCTCTGCCCAGCATTCAACTTCGCACTACCTATCTCTACAGGGTTCTTGTGAGGATTAGAGAATTAAAGAGAAAACCCTTTGCAGACTGCAAAATGACATTGTACCTTAAGTGTAAGTCTTGAGTTATATATATTCTCACAGTCATTTCTTTGGAATGTCATTTCATCTTTCAAAGTTTGGGTTCTAGAAGTCTTCCCTGATATTTCCAACTTCTTACAGCACCTACCTGTTTTACTAAATCTAGCTATCACTGGGTTACTTAGTAGCTTATGGGCATGGGAGGTTTTCTGCCTGCTGCCCTGTTTGCAGTCTATCTAAGCAGTATCACTGAGCAAGGTTGGAAAGGCACCCGAATGGCCAGGTTAGCTCCCTGTAGATCTCAAAGCAGAACAGAAAGTAGGTGTCATTGCTTAATTTAAATTAATGCACAGAAAGAAAAGCACTACCTGTCTAAGGTTACTACTGTATCCTAAAAATGAAGGGCTCTGAAACTTCGGCTGATGCATAGAAGAGGCTTCGAGGTTCTTTAGCCTGGTGTGCTTTTGGACGACAGGCTTTTCTGAGATCTAATTACTGTTGCCAGCCTGGAATTCACGATCACAGGAGGAGGTCAAGCTGGATGGGTGAAAGCCAATCCACAATTATGTAACTAATGCTTCAGGACATCCAATCCCTTTCTCCCAAGTAGAGTAGTCAACTTAGTGCTTTGAGTACTGAGGAAGTGGCGGTGGGGAGAGCTATTTCTTTTTTTTTTTTTTTTTTTAAGATTTTATTTATTTGAGAGAGAGCGAGCACAAGCAGGCAGAGGGACAGACAGAGGGAGAGTAAGAAGCAGGCTCCCCGCTGAGCAGGGAGCCGGATGCAGGGCTTGATCCCAGGACCCTGGGGTCATGACCTGAGCAGAAAGAAGGCAGATGCTTAACTGACGAGCCACCCAGGCACCCCGGGAAAGCTATTTCTAATGCAACGAGACCTCATAAGATAAAAGATGGCCATTTCCTTCAGGCTTTAGGCACAGCAACCGTGTAAGAATTCAATAAACTTAGAACTAATTTGTGCTTCAAAATGCTCCATCATTACAACATGAGCCTAGAGAACAAAAAACTCAAGCCAAAAAAATGGTGCCAGCTAAGCAGGAAAGATAGGCTAGCACTGGATTTAAGTATCATCCACAAGGTCCTACATGAACTGCAAAGTGACAGTAAAGAAACAGAATTCAGAGAATTCACACTTCGATTCCTCAGTCAAACAACCAACCAGTACATCATCATCTCACAAAGATGCCCTTCAAGGCATGAAATACTGGTTACAGGTGAGCCCTCTGCGTCCTATGCATGAGCTTTCAAGCACTCAGCTCTAGTGCCACGTTTCCCCCCTGCCAGAGGGCTCAGTACCCACAGGAGACAGTGGCAGGGTCCCGAGGACTCACTGCTGGCTTTGCCTCAGACTGTAGCCTTCAAGCAAGGTGGACTTCTCAAGGTGAGGCAAACAACAATAAAGAAAGTTCAACCTCTCCCAACATAACACGAGCTCTGTCCCGCGAGTGCTTCCCGCTGAGCCTCAGTCTTCCTCTTCTGTGCCCTTCTCTTGGGCAGAAATAGTGGTTCTTCAGATGGCTAATGGCTAACAGTCACATGAAAAGGACTGTTTCACCAAGCAGCAAGGAAGTTTACATTGTAAGAGTAAGATACCATTTGTTGGTTACCAAATTAAACTCTAGCAAACTAGTTTAAGAAATGACAAAGATCACTGTTAAAGTGAAGAAATCTTCCCAAACACCGAGCTTATGGAAATATAAAGTGATTCAGTCTTCCAGGAAAGCCTCCCAAATATTCATACTCACAGACCCAGTGGTCCCAGTTTGCAGGCACCTACCCTTAAGACATAATCCGAAGTGCAGATGACTGTTGTGTAGGCAACAGTTTAGACAACAAAGCTACCTGCTGCAGACTGACTCTAAGAGCAAAAATGAGATCCAATATAAATACTCAACGTCAGGAACATAGTTAAACTGTGGTACAGCCATCTAAGAAAATACGACGCAGTCAATAAAATTGTTTCCTGAATGTTTTTAAGTAATGTGAGAAAATTCTTTTGAAACAACGTCAATTTGAGGAAAGAGGAGGATATACACTTTCACACGGCATGATTTTTACTAATATAAATATACGTGAGAATGAGTGAAATATATAGTCCAAAATGTTAAAGTTATTCCCTGACTTATGAGATTAAGATTACATGGTGAAATAGTCAATAAATAACAGTCTCCAATCCTGGCTCTGGCTTCCCAGTTGGCCCTGAAGAAAGTTACTTTACCCCCCTGTATCTGTTTTTCTAATCTGTAAAACCATAATAATTATAGTAACCCTTGTAGAGTCGTAGAGTCGCTGGGAGAATTTAACAATGTTTAAAGCCAAAATATGTATAAATGGGAGGAAGTGAGTTATAGAGTTAGAGAAATATTTCACACAGACCTCTAAGACTCCCAGTTCTTACTCCATAGCCCCTTTTGCTGAAGAAAACAAAGTGCCCTTTGCAACCTAATTCCACTCAGGGCCCCAGAGAGAGGGCTTCAACCACAATCACAGGACTGTTGGGAGCCACATAAATTTAACATTTGTAAGAAAAAAAGAAAAAGATAACAAAATTCAAGATTCTTCCCTAGGCTATAATATATATTACTATTACATTCAATGCACCAAAATTTCCTTTACAAATAACTTGGAAGCATATTCTTAAAAATAATAAAGTGCTATTAAATAGAAGTTGAAAAGAAAGGCCATGGAAAAATAAAATGAGAAGCTAGCTCAGCCTCACTCCACTTCAACTGTTTCTTCACTTCAAAGATGGAACTGTTCTAAAAGTGGGAGGGAGCTGAAGTTCTTTTCGGTGATTCACTCTGCTCAGAGAGGTCTCCCAGCTCTTCTTTCGTCCATGTTATCGATCAGCCTGTCCTAAGAGAGTCTAATTCAGGACGCAGCCAGGATGGTCAGGGTATAACCAAGGAGTTCCCCAGCACGAAGGCAGCAGATAAACAAGCAGCAGCCGGGCACAAGCTGCAACGCGCTCGCTCTGCTCACCGGCGCCCCCCCTCAGGGGAGCTGATGTCACCACAGCTATTAGGAAAAGACACTCTACAGCTACAAACTCCTCATGAGAAAGGATTAGGCTTTCCAGAGCAGCTGTCCCAGGGACGCGATCAAGTGTGCTTTCCCACCCACTTTTCCTCTCTCAGAGGAGCATGACTTAAATGAAAGCAGGCCCAAGGGCCCAAGAATCACTGTGGAAGGAGGGAGAGAGGAAGATATTAAGAGGGGAGGTAAGGAGGGAGAATAGAGGGGTATATCATCTCCGGAAACGCCCAGGAGCTTTGTGTTAAAAAAAAAAAAAAAAAAAGTTTCTTGCCTTTTGAATAAATCTCGTGGCAAATGGCATCTCTTGGTAGGGGATCCAACCAATGGAAAACAGCAGAGGCCAGGAACACAAAAAAGGCTACTAACAACATCAATTCCCCAGGATGTAGGGGCAATGAAAATCTACCAAACCACAGATGCTCTAGGTGATCTATAATCATCTTTACTCCAGACAGAACATTTTAGTTATCACTTATTATTCTCTGTATTCTGCTTAACTTCAAG